GATTATCAAATTTGATAGATTCTAACTTGGTAGAATTTTGAGTTTTGTCTGCCATAAGTTTCGGCATAGAAGAGAGATTCAGGCTTGACTGAATTTGTTGGATTTAGGCTTGGCTGAATTTTAGTTTTATCTGCCACATGTTTTGGCGTAGAAGTGAGATTCAGGCTTGACTGAATTTGCTGGATTCAGACTTGGCTGAATTTTGAGTTTTGTAGGGACAACCTACAGGAAAACTGACTTTTAGTTGAACGCGATTGTCGTTGGCTGCAGAAAAAAACATATAAATCACACATAATAAATTCTGGTGACTAAAAAAGCAGCTGAAGAAAGGGCAGCTGGAAACAAAGCTCTCCCTGACGCATGGTTAGGGAAGAAAAAAGTACTGCATGAGAAATGACCGACTGGAAACACAACTCCCCCTGACTCTTGGGCAGGGAAGAAAAAAAAATACTGCAGGAGAAATGGTCGGTTAGAAACACAGCTTCCCCTGACACTTTGACAGGGAAGAAAAAGAAATACTGTAGGAGAAAGGGCTGGCGATGGATTTTGTCGGCATTGTTCGATCCACGACAGCAATATCTCTGGAGAGATGATGATGAGGCGGGTGGCGACATCACTGGTGTCGCCTTGGGTGGAGCCCCATAGCTGGTGCCGACATAGGATGATACAATGCATGAAGTTTTTTTTTTGGACGGTTTGTGGTGATGTTTGCCAAACTCCAAAGCATCTTTGCTATCATGGTTTCTTGGGAGTCGTGTACAGAAGTGAACTAAGATCCCCCGACTTTCTAAAAGACCTCGGAGAAGGAGAATCCTCCAAAACATCATCCCGTGCATTTCTAGGCGATGGCGGTGACAACAAGCTTCTAGTCGGATCAAAAAAGTCAGGAGTGAGATGCAGATGGTTCTTCCCCATCATCGGCTACGATATGCTGACTGGAGGAGTCTCTAATCGCAATCTAGCCTGCAAGGCATTAGCCACATTGGTAGATAGAGATGAGAGTAAGAGACGCCGAGAACAGAGGCGAGAGCCGATACTCTTCAAAACTGAAGCTACCATTCCTATGACCATATTTGTATCCATTGAAATCTCTTCGTGGAACACAATTAATGGGTGAAATTGATAACTTGGGTGAAAAGCTACGGTGCGAAGGGGGGCTAACATAACCCTTGTGAGGGCTGCGACTCGATCTATATGGTTTATCATATCAATACTTGTGGCAATTGTTACAGTAAGTTTGTCGTGCAAAATTTAGATTTCTGCACGACAAATTCTGGCATATCCAGTCACCTTCCTTTGGTGACAAATTTTGATCATTTTTGTGGATGAACTCTCCTCCTTATGAGGACATTATATGTGTGGTTGAATAGATCTCTCTCGTGTATGGTTATCTGCCCCTCCCAAAGGTAGAGGTGAGAAGTCGCGAAACCTGCCACCTCCTCCTCTCCCTCCCATTCCACGACCTGAACGAGGTCCCCGAGGGTGCCTAAATTATGGTTCAAAATAACCATCATCCACCCTTGACCTGCGCTGCGGTGAAATAGAACCTGGATGTTATATGTGCCCTGGATCATTTTGAAACCTTTGAGACTATGTATGGAACGCCAGAGGGGACTCGCGTCGTCAAAGGCCAATCGCAGAACCACAATGCTGTAGACCAGGTTGGGGTGCACGGTGGCGGAGTCCGTCAGAAGACCTCCAACGATGCAATGGCGAGTAGCCCCCACGACGTTGTCTGGATGATGGAGAATCACGAGGATGAACATCTTGCAGAGAATTAAGTCGACACTGATGGGGGCGGGGAACCACGATGGCGATCATCGATGTCATATCCGATGTTCAGATCGCTCCCTCCACCATTGCTGGCTGGAGGCTTGACGACCATGCTGCTGAGGTTGACGCCATTGCGCGGACCCGGAGACGGCGATAGGGATAGTGCCTCTAGTTCGGACTCCGAGGCAACATCGAGATCGAACTAGCGAGAGCGCATCTTTGTGATTCTTTTTCATGGCTTCTGTAACCTAACGAGGCGGCGGGGAATTAGGGATTTGGAGAAGAAAAAAAAATCGTCATTTTAAATACCAAGATGAGTGTCTCTCCCTTCCTGAATAGAGAATGGCAGAAAAAGAGTTCAACAATTTTCAAAGGAGGACCGGTGGCTAGAGTACGAAACCTTTCTCTGATACCATGCTGAAATTTAGAAATAATGCAGAATACTTCATTTTTGTTTCATTGATATGAACATGCGTATAAATAACCCTTACAAGAATTCTATAATAGAAAAAATAATAAAAATGAAATGATATGAAAGGAAAGATATATCACATAATATCTTCAATAATCAAATCATATTAATTATCATGAGAAATAGAAAATAACATAAAATAGGAAAACAAATAATTTCTAATCAAAGGAAATAAATATAAAATATAAAAGGAAACTCTGGCGATTGCAGGAAATATTAAAATTTTTAATAGTTTTTTGAGAAAAATAAGTTGAATATTGAATAGGCTCGATGCCTTTTAGTTTTGCTTTCATTCCATTAAATAATAATCTTATAATCTATTTTAGGTATAAAATATTTTGTATAATCTATTTTAGATAACTTAATAATACATATTCCTAATCTAAATATTCAGCTAAAAGGGAAATAAATCATAATAAAGATATTGAAAATAGTTTAAACAAGGAAGCTCCTAATTGTAGAAAACTCCTAATTTAGCTGCATAATTTTCGTCCTTCCTGATTGACATCCCCCCTCAAATTGATGTTGACTAATCATAAAACAACAATTTGCCAACAAGAAACTGATAACACTGCCAGGACCTAAAAATCCTCAAGCCATGAGTGCCGAAGGCGAAGGTGCCGAAAAGGAGAATGTCGAAGCCTCAGAGATAACTCCTGAACCATAATATGATTTGAGCAAAGAAAAACAAGAAATCCTTTATCATTTTCGTCCATAAATTCAAATCATAGCCACAAGAAGAATCCACTTCCAGTTACATGATCCAAATGCTACCGCTCATAGCCCACAATATGATCCAGTTACACGATCCATATGTTATCAATCATAGCCTACAAGTAGGATCCGTGTCCTGATCCAAATGCTACCGATCATTGCCCACAAATAAGATCCAGTTACACGACCCAGATGCTATTGATCATAGCCTAAAAGTAGGATCTGTGTCCTTATCCAAATGCTACCGATCATAGCCCACAAATAGGATCCATTTATACGATCTAGTTGCTATCGATCATAACCTACAAGTAGGATTTGTGTCCAGATCCAAATGCTACTGATCATAACCCACAAGTAGGATCCGTGTCCTGTTGTACGATCCAAATTCTATTGATTCTTCTTGCGATGACGAGGACGATTTGTTCCCTGATATTCACGCCAAAAGTGCTAAAGCCGAGATGTCAAAGTGTGTGTCTAGGAAGGAGTGTCGAAGCCTTCAATCCTTGGATGCGACGAAGAAGCCAAAGTCGAAGCGGCCGAAGCCAAAGCAGAAGAAGCAGTTGAAGATGTTACGGAAGCAGCGATGGCTAGTGAAGGAGATCCTAAGCGGGTGAAGCGAACAAAGTGAACGAGATCGAAGATTACAGATGAGACTTGAATTGCAGACGAGAAAATAGATGGACAGGATCGCAGATCGTAGCTGGAATCAAACACGAGAGACAAAACCAGGCGGGGGAGGTAGAAGAAGGTGAATCGAAGGCGGACGAAGTTGTCGCAGTGGACGAAAATCCTTAGATGGGCGAATCAAGACAAAGAAATAGTTCATCCCTTCCTGCAAGAAGGCAGACGAGAAGAGAGCCTCGACGGTCCTTTAGCGACTACCGATGGCTAGAGCAAAAATTTGGCTCTGATACAATGTCAAAATTTTGAGAAGAATAAGCTGAATACTGAATATACTCGATGCCTTTTCCCTTTGCTTTCATTCCATTAAATAATAATCTTACACTCTATTTTAGGTATAAAATATTCTGTATAATCTATTTGAGATAACTTAATAATACATATTCCTAATCTAAATATTTAGCTAAAAGTGAAATAAATCATAATAAAAATATTAAAAATAATTTAAATAAAGAAGCTCCTAATTATAGAAAATTCCTAATTTAGCTGCCTTACCGTCATTCCTGATTGACAGATTCATGTCACAATTTTTTCGACAAGTTTTACGCTGTCGATTGACTATCTAACACAACCTTCTACTCTTCACATCTGGGCTTGAGATCGATAATGACAATGTTGTTCAGGCAAATTATCATAATAATTTAGAAATATATTCAATATAATAACATATATATTATAAAATTAATAGTTATTAAAATAATCCATTAAAACCATATTCTTAATTGGATTTAATTTTCTTTTCAAAATGATTTTTTTTATTTCGAAAAGTTTAAACAAAATTAACTCAGGTTGCTTTTTGCAGTTTTTTAAGAAATAAGAGGGCAAAATAAATCTTCCCACAATACCCATCGGCCATCACCTTTGGTGTTCGGAACTCGGCTTGACCGTCGCGTCGCTTGGCTGCCGATCCTAGCTGCTTGCGGCTATAAATAGTATGCCTCGTCGATCATTTTACGTCTTGTCCTCTGTCTCTAAGCTTACTTTCCTTTCGTGCACAAACTTAGCTCATCTTCGTTCTAAAGGCAAGCATCTCTGATTCTCACTTCCTCGGTTTCTTTATATCTCAACGAAGTTTAATTCGGCCGAATTTGTCTATTCATTCTGCTCTTGACTGCATTTGGATCCAAATCTAGGTCTGTTGGCAGCGGAAACGTTAGGCAGAAGCAATTTAATAATTAACAGGTTCTCTCAATCTGTCGATTTTGATTGCTATTTTGAGGAATTGTTGCGCGCCAGATTTTATCATGATTTATGAAAATTTTTGTGGATGTGATTGTGTAGTGTGAGAAGTGCTGAGAAGAACTTGGGATGGATATAGGGCTGGTGGAGCGGCTGGGGGG